TAAAGAAATTTGTCGGTTCAAATTAAGTAGAAATGCTAACTTCAAATACTTGAGGGAGAGAATACAAACAAAGATGCAATCTGGATCTGTTTCACAAATTATTTATCGAAATTCTGTTCATTTCGGGAATAACAATGTGAAATATGTTCCATTGAAAGTCTGAGACAACAATGATGTTGAAATGATGTTTTACAACCATGAATTATTTGGGTTGATTTCATTGATTTATATGTAAAATTTCAACATTGTCAATAATCTCAGATCTCGCCGATAAGAAATCCACCGGAAGAGTCAATAGCAATAATTCCCAGCGAAGATGTTGAAGAAGAAGATGAAGAAGAAACTGAGGCACATGCTGATTATTTGTACACTTCTTTATTTGAAGAAGGCGACTGTGACAAACCAAAAGCAGTCAACACAAATGAATAACACATTCTAGTTGGGAATGTATTCTGTCCACCTCCCCACATGACAACCTTGTGCTTAATTGTAGACCAATCATCATTTGAATGACCATACAATCTCCATCTCCCAATGGAGGGTAACATATTTGTGGGTGACCAATTCAAAAACAAAGCTGATTGTGTGCTCGCCATAACAAAATATCACATGAAACATAGTGTTGATTTCAAGGTGAAATATTATGACACGAAGAGATATCAAATATGTTATGGGAACACTACGTGCAAGTTTCATCTGGTGGCGTCTTATAGAAAAATAAGTGTCATATGGGAGATAGAAATCATGAACCCCCACACAACAGTTCAACAACTATCTTCAATCAGGATCATCGAAAACTAAGCTCTCAATTGATGTGTCAACCATTAATCCCTCTTGTAGATAAGGATCTTTCAACCAAGGTGAGCATATGTATCAGTGAAATTATTTCTGAATTAAAATTCACTTTGTCATACAGGAAAGCATTTATTTCTAGGAATAAAGAAATTGAACAGGTGTACGGTAATAGAGAAAACTCATATAATGAACTTCTGCATTACTTGTTAGCACTTAAGAAATTTGTTCTTGGTACGATGGTAGAAATGCAAATATTTCCAGTATATAGAGATGACATGACATGAATTTTGTCAATGGGAAACAAATCTTTCACCGATTATTCTGGGCATTCCAACCATGCATGCGAGGATTTGCATATTGCAAGCCTATACTTCAGATTGATGGTACCTGGTTATATGATAAGTACAAGGGTACGCTACTAATGACGATAGCACAATATGGCAACAATAATATTTTCTCAGTTGCTTTTGCCCTTGTGGAAGGTGAGACGACAGGCGGTTGGGGTTTCTTTCTAAAGAACTTGAGAATTCATGTAGCTTCTCAACCAGGCCTATGTTTGATTTCCGACAGGCACGCATCGATCAAAAGTGCATACAATAATCCAGAAAATGGTTGGCATAATCCGCCATCTGTCCATGTCTGCTGTATCAGACATATTGTACAAAATTTCATGAGGGAAATCAAGGACCAAAACCTCCGGAAAAAAAGTTATCAACATGGGTAAGTATCTATTTGCTAACATTAAATCTTAGTTAATAATATACAATAACATTAACCTATTTTTTTAATAAAATATAAGGTATGCTTTAAACCAACTAACATTTAACTATTATCAGAATGAAATTCGCATAGCTAATGGTGATGCTTTAAGGTGGTTAGACAATATTTCAGTTGAAAAATGGACGAGGGCATTTGACGAGGGTCGGCGTTGGGGTCACGTGACAATGAACCTCGAGTCAATGAATTCAGTATTTAAATACACTCGTAATCTACCCATTAAAACATTGGTAAGTGTAACATATTATAGCATGAGAGCACTATTTGCTAAACGGGGTGCACAATGGAGTACAATGTTGAAATCTGGACAAATATTTACAGAGCATTGCATGAAGGTGATGAAAGAAGAAACAACAAAATCCACCACCCATCAGGTAAGATTTTTTACTACAATCATAACACTTTCAGTGTGAGGGAGATAATTTACCACAGTGAGGGGAAGCCTATGGGATGTTATAAGGTCAACTTAATAAATCGTTGGTGTGACTGCGTAAAGTTTCAAGCATACCATGTTCCTTGTTCACATGTTATTGTTGCATGTTCCGTGGTGCGCCAAGACGCCTATGGTCTATTGTCTAACGTTTACATGGTCGCAAACTTATTCTGGGTTTAAAGCACAAGCTTTCCAGTTATACCATACAGTGAATATTGACCAACTTATAACGGAGATCAAATTTTCCATACTACAATCACGCGGAGGAACAAGAAATGCTCAGTAAGCACACGTATTATAACAAAAATGGGCACGTACGATAAGTTGGTGAGAAAATGTGCATTGTTTTATTTTCTTGGTCACAACCGAATACAATGTCCCAATGTAGAAAATAGTAATAATTAGTATTTTATTTTATTACCATCTTATTTTCAAATTACTGTCAAGCTTCTCAAGTGTAATAACCATTACTAATTCAGTTTCTTTTTCATTATTTAATGTCATTTTATGACCACTAATATCTTTTGCATTTAATATAAATAATAAGAATCCATATAGACAAAACGAACAATAATAAATCCAAAGACAACACATACAATAGATATCAAAACAGATTAAAAATATTTAATCTCAACAACATCAGTTGGTCCAAACAAAACACATTAATATTTTTAGGATATTACAACCATCAAGACAATATCGGCTGGTCCAAGTATCATCATAAGGACACCAACAACGTTTTTAACTGTTTCCACGAACGAGTTACTCCATTTTGGTTGGACACCATAATTTGCCTATAAATTCTCATGATCTGTTCACCATCAGGAATGTCTCCATCTAACCAGTTGGTCAAATGCTTCTGAAGATGCTTAAATGTTCGCATGTTCCAAAGTTTGATCTTTACCAGAGGTTTTATTGGTGAAAAATAGGTTGAGCAACTCTTTTGATAAGTGGAAACGTTGGAAAGTTCATGGAAGATATATTTAAGAGTTAACTGAATAGATGAGTAGTAAATATTTTGAGTACCAAATGAGTAAGCAATGTTATTTATAAGAAAATCATTAAATTTATTTAATACTCAGCAAAAATGAAAAAAAACATTAAAATAATCAATCCGCCAATTATAGTGACAAATCTGTAATTAAATAATAAAATAATCAAAAGCTCCGACAATTATAGTGGCAGATATGTAATTAAATACTCTTTCTGACCACTTTTATAAGAAACAATTCATCTTTCTAGATTTATTGAATAACTAATGTACCTGATCTGTATTATAGACCAGAAATATTAATTATTTAATGAATCTAGAAATGTGAGGTGTCTCCTATAAAAAGAACTAGAGGGAGTAATAAAATCATCAAAAACTCTGTCAATTGCAGTTGCAGAGCTGTACTTAAATATAAAAAAATTCTAATCAAATTAATTATAAATATATAAATAAATTTAAAATATTTATTGTTATTTCTTATTATATAAAAAAAAATTATTTGTAATTATAATATTTATTTTAAAATATATTTATTTTTAGTAGTTATTTTAATATATATATATGTATGAGGATATGCCATTTCATTGGTCGGAGGTTCTATAATGTATGATATAATATATAATAAATTGTAAAAAGATAGTATGGATATGAAAAATTCTAAAAATAAAGGAACTAAAATGCAATTAAGCCTTCCATATAAAAACGATTCGGTATCAACATTTTTAATGTTGTTTTATTATTCACCAATAATTTCCTCACTTTGACCATAAAAATTGAACTAATAATATACTTTTTATTTTGACAAATTGAACTATATACTCATATCCTTATTATCAATTGAATAAATTAAGGGGGGTGATTTGTTTGGTTTGAATCAATTTTTGATTATAAAAAAGGTTTATATCGTGATATTTTTATCGGTTTGATTTGGTTTAATTTTTAATATTTTTTAAAAATGAAACTGAACTAAACTAGTTTGTTTGATTTATATTTTTTCAAATATTATATTTATTAATGTATTATTATATTTTCAGTGAATTTTTATACTATGATCTTTTAAAATAATATATTTTATATAAATTATTTTATGTTCTATTTTTTAAAATAAATTATAAGTTATTTTTAATTCTTATAAAACTCTCACATAATTTCTATATTATAAAAAAAATTTACTATCAAATATAAAAGGATTAAGAATAAATTTGAAAGCTTAATAAATAAAATATATTAAAACACACATCAATTAACATGTTTTACACTTCAAACACACATTAAAACTATTTTGTAAGAAGAGTGTCATTTGAACATTTCTTAACTCTTTGAGCAAAATATTTTCTCAAAAAGATATTAAAAACATAGTACAATTCAACAGTTATTGCCGACATGATGATATTATGGCTGAATGAGCGTTTCACTTTCATGTGGATGGATTAACATGTCAATTTATACCATTGGGACCAAGCTCATGTGTGAACTAGTTTTGTAGATATTTTGATAGATTTTCTATAATGGGTAGGCTAATAGATATTATCATATCTATTCTTATCCTATGTCTGTTCTGAATATATCTCATTAACACACCAAGACAGTGTTGTCCTCACCCTTGTGTTTGTGAATTCTTAATTATTATTGCCTCTCTAAGATTAAATGGTTCTATTCAAACATTCCACCTGTGAAGGTCCAATAAGAAATGCATGGACAAAACTTGTGGGGTGGCACACTGAAGGTCTAATAAGAAATGGATGGACTTGTGGGTGGCAAATGGACTTGTATCTCGCAAAAGTTGAAAAAAAATTAGGGTAAAACAGACCTAATTAAAGATACGAGTTTAAAATTTTATCTATATCATATGAAAATAAAGGTAGAAGAGCGAGCATACAGACCTTAGATCTTAAAAGATTAAAAATATAAAAATTCTTATTAATATCTGTGTCTATAAAAATATTTAAAAATTACGACAAGAGAGTAGCTATTGTCTTCTATACCAAAAGAATAAATATAAATTTATAGAATTTCCCATGCTTCCAATCTTGAAAGCTCCCAAGCAAAGATCAAGTATGTAACTATTATCCATACATGAAAATTGAATGACAGAACCTGCATGTAAGTGGATTAAACCATTAGACACATATCACACTGTGACACGATGATATTGATACCAGTAATAAAAATCAATCTGAGACACTGATATGACATCTGACATATGTTGAACACCTGACACGTTTTTGTTCAGAGGTGTTTGTGCATAAAAAGTAATGAGAATTTTACTTACATTAGATTTGGATGGAAGAACCATTTGAGGAAGATAACCTTGCAATCCAATATTATAAACAGGGCTACCATCTGGATAATAAAGACCATAGTTTCTTTCTGAGGTAGGGTCATTTTTCAAATCTTCATTAAAAAGTGCAAAAACATATACATCAATTGGCACCAATGGCTTCCCAGGAGTTCCTTGTTTTTCTTCAATTCTTCTCAGCAAATTTCCATTATACAATTTCGCATTCTCTATTGTAGCTCCAATTTCATCAGAATCACCCTTAGAAGGCCAATCAGTCTCAGAAACCCTAACTTCAATATTCACAAACCCTAGCACTTTGATTGCAGCATAAACAGCATCAATTTGTGCATACAACATGTTATCATAATGTAAATTTGTATTTGGATCAACCAAGCCTTGATTAGGTTGAAAAAGTGCATAATTCAAAGCTATCTCATTAGGGTTATCTTTGTATGCAAAAAAAGGGTAAGCATTAATAAGAAAAGGTGAATTAATTTCGTCGAGAAATTCGACTAATGGTTGAATATATTGAATCAATTCTTCTTTAAAAGAACCTGATGAAGGAGGGTAAGAATTTTCCAAATTGTTGAAAGAAAAAGCCGTTGCGACGCTAATTAAACGGTCTAACCCGAGATTAACAAGGGCGGTATGTACATTTCGCATTGAAGGTAAAAGATTTAACATCAATTGAGTATTGTTGCTATTGAAAACTTCATTTCCAACATTTATGGAAGTTATTTTGGTTTGTGAAAGGTAAGGTAGAACATGGTGTTGAATCCAATTTTGAGCTTTGGAAGGGTTTGTCATGTTTTGTAGATTCTCATTTCCAAGTCCTATGACAAATTCAACATTTGAGTGAGAGAAAGCAAGTAGAACATTTGGATCAGCATCATAGAGTTTGATTTTTGTCACATTCATTGATCTTATTAAAAGAGCTACTCTAGAAGGAGATGGTAGGTTGTTTGCTATTTGTCCATAGTTTATTCCAAAACTTAGGGAATTGATTTGCATAAATGAATCTGAAAACATATAGTTAGAAGTATCAGAAAGTTTATACTAGAAAAAACTAATATCATAGTGTGAACAGAATAAGACTAGTTAGAGATGATAATAATAGCATATATAAGGTTGGAATAAAAGGGCGATGATGTAAGATAGAGTACCTGAAAGGGTGAGAAGAAAGAAAACAAGTGATTTGAAGAAGGAAAAGCTTGTCATTATTATTGATCTCATCTTGATTATAAAAGGAAACAATATCTAGGCACAGAAAGTGAGGTGATGCAAGGTTGGATTAATAACGTGTGAACGTGGCATCATGGACTTTGATGTATGTATTAGTTATACTTCAATGAGGAGCAAGGGCAGGAAGGGGAGGGGGCAGAGAAACTCTGTTTCCAAGACTAGTTTTGACAGTTTGCATTTTTGTTACAATGTTCTTATAATAATAATAATAATAATAATAATAATAATAATAATAATAATAATAATAATAATAATAATAATAATAATAATAATAATAATAATAATAATAATAATAATAATAATAATAATAATAATAATAATAATAATAATAATAATAATAATAATAATAATAATAATAATAAAAATAATAAAAATAATAATAATAAATAATAATAATAATAATAATAATAATAATAAAAATAATAATAATAATAAAAATAATAATAATAAATAATAATAATAAAAATAATAAAAATAATAATAATAAAAATAATAATAATAATAATAATAATAATAATAATAATAAAAATAATAATAAAAAAATAATAATAATAATAATAATAATAATAATAATAATAAAAATAATAATAATAATAATAATAATAATAATAATAATAATAATAATAATAAAAATAATAAAAATAATAATAATAAATAATAATAATAATAATAATAATAAAAATAATAATAATAATAAAAATAATAATAATAAATAATAATAATAAAAATAATAAAAATAATAATAATAAAAATAATAATAATAAAAAAAAAAATAATAATAATAATAAAAATAATAATAAAAAATAATAATAATAATAATAATAATAATAATAATAAAAATAATAATAATAATAATAATAATAATAAAAATAATAATAATAAATAATAATAATAATAAATAATAATAATAATATATTATTATTATTATTATTATTATTATTATTATTATTATTATTATTATTATTATTAAGAAATTCTTTCTGCTGCGTTAGTAAAGTTTATGTTTGAAGACTATGTTGAAATATTGTCGGTTCATCTGAAATGTGTGTTATGTATCTGTGTTATATTAATTGAGAAAATTTGAACATGTTGAATGATGTGACATCCTATTTTGGAGTTTTATTTTACTCTGATTGTTATTAAAATTACCGTTGGGGAAATAGAGTGTTACACCAGCTCCAAAAATAGAAAAAGAGGTTTGTGGTTTCTTAGGACGATTGAATTACATTTCAAGGTTCATATCCCACCTAACTGCTACATGCGAGCCTATATTTAAGTTACTTCGAAAGGATCAAACAGTGGTGTTGAATGATGATTGTCAGACAACCTTCTAGACAATAAAGAAATATTTACAAGAGCCACCAATCTTTATGCCACCAGTTCTTAAAAGACCGCTCATCGTGTACTTAACAGTGCTTGAAGGGTCTATGGGATGTGTATTAGGACAACATGATGAAACGGGTAGAAAAGAGCATGCAATTTACTACCTCGGCAAGAAATTTACTGACTAAGAAACCAGCTACTCACTTCTCAAGAAGACTTGTTGTGCTTTAGCTTGGGCTACTAAACGATTAAGGCAATACATGCTAACTCACACCACTTGGTAAATATTAAGAATGGATCCTTTGAAGTATGTGTTTGAAAAAATAGCTCTTACAGGAAGGATATCCAGATGGCATATGTTACTATTCGAGTACGACATCCAATATGTTACTCAAAAGGCCATCAAGGGTAGTATACTAGTTGATCATCTGGCTCATCAGCCGTTGCCAGAATATCAACCAATGAAGTTCGACTTTTTAGACGAAGATGTCATGGCTATAGGTGGCCACGAAATACCAGGACCGACGAAGGACCTAAACCAGGGGCACGTTGGACACTCATGTTTGACGGTGATTCAAACGCATTAGGGCATGGTATTGGGGTAGTGTTGACTTCTCCGAAGAATTTTCATAAACCTTATACTACAAGGTTATATTTTGACGACACCAACAATATCGTTGAATGCAAAGCTTGTATATTAGGACTAGAAGCTTATATTGATCTAAGAATTAAGCACCTCAAGGTGTATGGAGACTCAACATTAGTTATATACCAAGTCAACGGTGTATGGGACACTAAATATCCCAAACTGATTCCATATCGGGATCATATTTTGAAGCTAGTTACGGAATTTACTGAGATAACCTTCAGTCATATTCCGCGAGAAGAAAATCAAATGGCAGATGCCTTGGCAACTTTATCAATCATGTTAAAAGTATCCTGGCCAAATCACGAACCATGCATTACAATTAGACATTTTAAAGAACCTGCACATTGCCTTGCCATTATGGAAGGACCAAATAACAAGCCTATGTTCTATGACATCAAAAGGTATCTCGAGAAGCAAGAATACCCAGAAAATGCCTCTGTGATTGACAAGCTAACTCTACGGAAGCTAGATTCAAAGTTCTTTTTGAATGATGATGTGTTATACAAAAGAAACTATGATATGGTATTACTCAGGTGCCTCGAGAAACATGAAGCAGATACACTTATGAGAGAAATTTATTAAGGAACCTTTGGAACTCATACAAATGGACATGCCATGGCTAGAAAGTCTTACGAGTAGGTTATTATTGGTTGACGGTGGAAATTGATTGCTACCATTATACGAAGACATGTCACAAATGCCAAATTTACATCGAAAAAATTCATATACCACCGACTCCTCTAAATGTCTTGAGTTCTCCTTGGCCGTTTTTTTATGTGGGGAATTAATATGATAGAAATGATTGAACCAAAAACCTCTAACGAACACTGGTTCATACTAGTTTCCATCGATTACTTCACCAAATGGGTGGAAGTTGCATCCTATGAAAATGTGACAAGACAAGTGGTTACTCGGTTCATCAAGAAAAATATTATATGAAGATATGGGGTTCCTAGCAAAATCATTACAGATAACGGGTCCAATTTGAACAACAAAATGATGAGGGAGTTATGAAATTACTTCAAGATTAAGCACTATAATTCCTCACCGTATCGACCCAAGATGAATGGGGTTGTTGAAGCTGCCAATAAGAACATCAAGAAAATCATTTAGAAAACGGTGAAGACATACAAATATTGGAATGAAATGCTCCCCTATGCACTACATGGCTACCCTACTTCCGTACGTACGTCAACAGGGGAAACACGTCAACAGGGGAAACTCCTTTCTTTCTAGTATATGGCATGGAGGAAGTAATCTTGTTGAAGTAGAGATTCCATCGCTAAGAGTTCTAATGGAAACCTTGAAGAGTCAGGATGGGTTCAGACGCGACTTAATCAACTTAACCTTATTGAAGAAAAGCGCTTGATAGCACTGTGCCACGGTCAATTATACCAAAAGCGAATGAAGAAAGTGTTTGACAAGAAGGTTCGTCCTCAAGTGTTCAAAGAAGGAGATTTGGTGCTCAAGAAGATTCTACTACCTCACATTGATTCACGTGTTAATGGACACCCAACTATGAAGGTCTGTATGTTGTAAAAACAACATTTTCGAGTGATGGTCTTATCCTCACAACAATGGATGGGGAAGAACTTCCACATCCGACAAATTCCGACGCAGTCAAAAATACTATATATAAAAAGCTCGCTAAGTTCGAACCCTAAATGGGCGACTTATGCAAAAAAGGAGGGTCCCGGTGAATTGAAAACCCAAACGGGTGATCCAAGCAAAAATTAGGAACATAAACAAAAAAAAATTATCTCGGTGGATTGAAAACCTGAAAGGGAGGTCCAGGAAAAAGTTAGAGATCTTATTCAAAATAAAGAACAAATAGACTGCGATCCGATAACCACGAATACAACCACGAAGGAGATGTATTAATCCAAATCATATAACTCGAAACCAAAGAAGATTGGAGCTATCAAAAGGACATTGGAGAAACAGCAGTAGCAATTATTATTATTATTTCCATTTACAGTTTTATTAAAACTTTATGTGATTACCTCTTTCTAGAAATTGCATCTTGTACTCACGCCTATTCAAGACATATTTATCAATAAAACATTTACTTTTTCAAACTTTCAATTGTGTTTTTCTTTTTTCGGAATTGTTTGCAAAATACTACGCTTATTTCTTGTAAATATCGCGTTGAAATCATTCTGGGGATTTGACAAAACAAAAAGAAGCATTTGATAAAACATCAAAAGGCCTTTTGGTTAGAAAAAAACATCGAAATAAAATCCATAACTACGTCCACGCCTGCAACTATAGCCACAACCACGCATATGTCCACAAATATGCCCACGCCTACACCTACGCATGCGATAAAAATATCAAAATCTTGCTGACACATACTTATCTTATTCAAATCAACTCAAAGATAATGCAACAACGCAACTTACAACGTTGGGAAGTCGGTGACACCAAGAAAAAATCAATGAGTTAAAAGGAGAGAATATCAAAAACATTTATAAAAACATTGGGTGCATAAACAACATTTGGTACATATACAAACATTTGGTGCATATACAAAAAAATTTAGTGCATATACATTTTGGTTCCATGTCAACTCAGGGCATTATGCATGACATTTTTCAAATCCATTTTGGTTAAACTACAAGCTTTTTTGGGGACCATTGTTGGATTATCTTAACAAACGAATACCTTGGTTGAGAAGAGACACAACTGGTAAAACTACGATCTTATCTTTAGTCTAGTTATCTAAGATTTGATTATCAAAACACTTTTCAAGTATCGATCCTCTAGGTCATGGTAGATATGCGAATTGTCAAGATTACGTTATTTATCCTCTAGGTCGTGATAAATACATCAGTCTATCCTCATGTAGTTTATACTCTAGGTCGTGATGAACGCACAAAATTTTCAATTATCTATCCTCTAGGTTATGGTAGGTATGCCAATTATCAGGGTTATGTTATTCATCCTCTAGGTCGTGATGAATACATAAGCCTATCCTCGTGTCATTTATCCTCTAGGTCGTGAT